CCATGCCGTGTGATCTGCCCCGAACACATGCAGAAAGGGAATCGCCAGGGACACAGGTCTTCCACGCCCGTGCGCACCCTCGTGCCTGCGGGGAGACACCGGTCAGAGGGGAATTCTCATTTGTGGACATAACGATGATTTGAACTCAAGTTTCAAGAGGGACAAAAAAAACTAATCCCGTAAGCTAGCTCAGCTCTACAACCCACCTTCAAAAGGCCAAGGCAAGACAGAGCACAAGGCGGGGGGAAAAAAAGAGAGACAGATTGCATTTAAGAATTTAAATCATTTTTATTGCTTTACCTGCCATTAGAACAATCTATAACAAAAGGAATAATATATTAGCACATACAGTAAGTCAGACTTATATTGTCAGGTAACAATACAAAAATGGTCCTCTGGTTGACTATAGCTTTCTAGGGCGGTAGACTTCATAAATTCGCTAAAGGTGGCCTAGCAAAAGGTTACTTCTAAAGCCCTGAATGTTAGCTAAGGCAAACTATGCCGATTGTGATTTCAAACATATCAGAATTGCACACAAAGGTAAAGCTATAACTGTGATTAATATTTAACTCGGACTTAGCTGGTTTATCTTAAAATCTTGTAGGTAAAACTACAAAAGGGAGTAAACAGCAAGCTAAAAAGATGCGGTCGTGAAACTTGATTAGAAAGCCTTCTAGAAAAACGGGCATTTTTGTGGCGCTCTAACTAGTTTACATTGGGGGGTTTTTTTGGTGCTTCAACAAGGATCAAATCAAGCTTCAGAGTAACTAAAAATACGAAGTAAAATAACCTGGATAGATTCAAAACTGAATAAAACAGTTTTGCAAAAAGGTAGCGTTTGCTTCCTCCCAAGGAGCACAGGTAGGAAATCCTCCACTTAGCAGCTGCTGGCCAGAGATGGTTCGCACAGCGCAAGCACTGTACAGCTAATCCTGCTGCGGGGACTTTGGGAACAATATACACGCCTCCTAGAGCCTCGTGCAAAGACCTGATACCCTCAACTGTAGCCTGTGTCTGTCAAGCAGACACTTTAAATGGTCTATGAGCCTGGAAAGGAGTCTACCACGGCTGGTTCCTTCAGAAGGGGGTGGAAAAAAATAATACTAATAAAAAGGAGGCATCGCTCATTAGAAACAGCTGCGTAACAAATGCAAAAACGCTTGCTGTCACTCCCCGATACAACTCTACTCTAGTTTTATATAAATTACAGTTTAAAGGAAACCTTAAGTCGCCTACATTATTGAACTGTGGAATTCAGTAGAAATGGTTGTGTAGTACTGGTGCACACCGAAGAATGTAACACAAAGCTGGTAAATACTGAAATACATTTAAGACTCCGCAACAGGTTGGACTGTCCAAAGGGGGGAGGGGGGTGGGAAAGGAGGGAGAGAGAATAAGAAATATGTTGTAAGTCCGCTAGGCTGGGCAGGAGGAGAGAGAGGATGCAGCATGTGTGCTCAGAGTACACTTAAAATGAACGGTTAAAAACTTTTAACTTCTAGTTGATTTAAAAATCTACCTACTTAAAAGAACGGTAGCAGGAAAACCGGGACATTCGCTTGTTCTGCCTGAACCAGGGCATCCCCGCTCAGCTGTGGGCCAGCTGCTGTCGGCTACGTACAAGCAAATCTCGTCTCCCTGCTACCAAGGAATTAACTGAGCAGAGACTCTTTTAAAGGACAGAATCAGCTGTGGAGCATCTAGCAAGCAAGCATCAGAGAGCAAAACTAGGTGTATGCTGCCAATTCCCGCACCGCGCCCAGTGCGTGAACACCGCAAATTTGGCATTCCT